CTGACCCCCCCCCCCTCCTCTCCCGGGCTCCTGGGCAACTACGTTGTTTCAGTTCTGTTTACTAGAAAAAGATAAACATACGTAATCCATTTTTCTTTATTGACAAAAAAAATATGCTTAAGATCAATATTCTGTTTAGTTTTAAAATTTAAGTGTATTTTTACCCCGATTTAATCACCAGAATTTTGTGTAGTATAAATAAATACATCGTAGTATAAACCCAGTAGTATAATTATTTGAAGTATAGACGCGTGTTAGATACACTTACAACGATAGTTTCCGTTTATCAATAATTGCCTATTAATGTACATACTTACATACATATGTACGTATATATATAGTGTGCATTACTGATGGTTAAAGTAGTACGTAGTATGGAAGCCTATTGCGGCCATTTTATAATCACTAAGTCCTGGGCGAGAAAGCGAGGAGGATGGATCGAGAGTGCGAGAAGGCGAGGAAATAAGGCGAGAATGCAAAGATTTCGACCCGAGAACACAAGAGTATTTTACCTCGACTTCTGTGGAAGGATATCACTGCCAATATTAAATGCTTTACTAAAATGTCTTTTCGTTAGATTATATGTAAAAAGTCCTTATACTGGTAATGATAAAGTCAAAATACCTCTAAGGCCAAGCATCATTTCCGATAGGTACTTTAAGAGTTCAATCTGATTAAAATACAGATCCATATTTCGTTTCGTTTTTTTTTTTTTATGTTTTCGATGGTCATGAAGATATGGTCAGTTGTAGTGGGAGGTCGCGTTATGGGGCATGCGAGCGACTTTTGAGCTTATGACGTTAGATTTAAGCAATCAACGTTGATGTTTTTAGTTCCGTGCATCGCACCCCAAGAACTCGCTGCAACAGACCGTTTCATTGGCTGATCCCGTACATCAACAAGAACGCGGGTTATATAACAACTCTTCTAGATTCTAGTGTAGTTAAACGAAATTTTGAACTATAAAAAACGAAACGAAATAGGATCTGTGTTTTATTCAGATTGTTCCACAGTTATGACCCTTGGTCTCTTTGAAACATGCTCTAGGTATGGCTATTCATCAATCTATAAATCTTATTGTTGTTCTTAGTGTTAAACGTCCACTTATACCGAAGGTGATATCGTAGACAAGTTTTCACGCGTAGGGGTCTTTCCTGTGGGAGGAAACCGGAGTACCCGGAGAAAACCAACCAGGTTGAGAAGATGTCCCTATTTCCAAGCCACATACGCTCACACCGGGGATGGAAACCACAACTGCAAGCCAGAGGTGACCGGTCAGCTAGAGGTCGAAGCGCGACATTTGGTGGCCATTTTTGGGAGCCACGGTGGCTAAGTGGGTAAGACGCTTGATGTCACGTGTTCGATCCCTGCATTGACAGATTGCTTGACAAGGACAACCGTCTAGTCGTTCGGATGGGACGAAAAACCAAGGTCCCGTGTACACATTGGCGTAAACGATACATTGCCCGGGCAAAATTTAACTCATAGCACGCTGTATGGCGTATGCCCATCTTCATTATCCCAGTCGAAGCAGAACAGTAGGACATTAAATTTCATTTCATTTCGGTGTCCATTTTGAGACGGAAAATCAGAGAACTTTGGATATAATATAGAGGAAGATCCCACGAACACAACAATACCAATAAACCTTCTGTTACAGTTTGTTCTAGTTTGCCCTAAATTTCACACGCACTTAGCACTCTGGGGATATTGTTATTTGATGAAAGGTATGGTGTTCTATTCGGCCATTCCCCGCGTCGCGCGTTGCCTTGTTTGCGTCGCTTTTTTTGCAATGTTAAGCTATGGAGAAAAAAGGCGACGTCGACTTTTTAACACGACTTCGCGTTTTATATAGCAACGCGTCGCATGTCGCTTTTGAAAATTATTTATAGATTGACTTCCCTTAGGGAGACTTCATTATTTTACATTTTTAAATGCAAATACAATAATTCTTAAAAATGCACATGCATTTTGTAAGTTTTTTGGTTTTGTTTTCATTATAAATAATTATTTGACATTTATGTCCTATTATAATGTTTTTTTCTCAGACATTTTTTCCCATATTTCATTCAATGATTATAGATTGTGTGTCTAGGTTAACTAGTGCAGAAGTGAACGTAATTTTGGGTTCTTTCAACATCGGTCTTAATCTGATTTCTTCAGGGTTGCTAATATATTCGTCGTAGGATATCCCCCAAAAATATATATTCTCTATTAATTCTGTTTGTAAAAATGTCAATGAATGTTTATACTATAAGTAATACAACACTTGAAAACTATAAAACAACTGATGTACATAACTAAACCATACCTGCATCGTTACCAGTACCCTGCCATCATGTGTTTAACTATAGTGTATGACAGTATTTGCAGAGAGCACGAGGTCATTCATTCACACTAGAGTTTACGATTTTAAGTTTAGAACAGAACTTTAAATATAACATATAATTTGGATATTATAGAAATGTTCTGTTCTATAAATGATATTATTGGCAGTTCCTTGTATCTAATATAAATTACTGTATTGAAGATAAAATACCAAACGGCAAATAAACTGCAAATGAATTCTCCTGGTACATGCGCTTTTCATCACCAAAATTATAAACAATATCTGTTTAAAAAAGCGACGCTAGGGGCCACGAGCAGCTTTTTGAAAGGCGACGTCCTGTCAAAAAGTCGACGTAGCTTTTTTTTTTTATCGATAGCTTGACATTGAAAAGGGCTTTTTTCAAAGGCGACGCGGCAAGTGGCCGAAATAGAACACCACAGAAAGGGGATGCTTAAATTTCCACTGTTTATATAACATAGTCTTTATGTTCTAAAACGAAAACATAGTCCAAAAGAAAAGAAAATGTAAGGTACCCAAATACTTGAGAAGCAAAATAACTAATACAATTATATATGCGGAAATCCAGAAATTAAAAGAAAATATGAAATATTCTTTCTTAAAGATGCTATATGTGAGAGCTAATTCGGCCTATTCCAGGTGTTTATTTTGGCTTCAAATGTTATAATAATTATTAATTAGACATTTATGTACATAACATGCCTATAATCAACTCTAGAGCATCAGCTGGCTGAGATTTAATTGGATTAAAATACCCGTGAGATTTCAAAATTTAACGATAAAATAGATAATCGAGCTAAGTATCGGTTGTCAAGAAGCGTTGCTTCGATAATGAACAATCTACGCTTGATCTTGTCAATCCATAAAACGCCCATAACTTCGCTCTAAATAAAGTAATTTGAATGAAAATTTCAATATATTCATAGGAAGAACGTTCAACTCTTTATCTAAATCTTACATAATGCATCTTTATGAGTCATTTTACTTTCAATCACAAATTTAATTTAATCATGTGTAAATGTATTTGCTTACAACCTCATTAGCAACCCTCTAGTCCTACTGTGTTAATAGTAAAAACTTGGCAAATCACAAATTACCCTTTTACCCTTTTAAACATACTTATTTTACGACATTTAATCTACAGTTGTTTATAATATATATATATATATATATATATATATATATATATATATATATATATATATATAACACACATATGTTGAAAACATAATTACTATGACCAACATTTATATTAAAGATGTTATGCATGATTTAGCGCTGTATAATCCCTTGCAAACTACGCGTTGACCTATAAAATAACGGATCCGAAACACCCGACGTCAATTAAAATCAAATGAAATAGCTCGGACAACTGTTGTACTTTGGTTTCCAAATCGTTTACCGTTCAGCCAGGAAACCCAGTTACCGAAGTGACGATGCAAATTTAATTCTTAATTTTTCTCTCTAAAGATTAATTCGTCCGAAATCCGGGGTTTCTGAATTAGTCTCAGTAACGATACAAATTTCATTCTTAATTTCTCCTTTTAAGCGTTAATTCATCTCAAATCCGAGGTTTCAAAATTATAGGGGTCCAGACAAAAAGGTGCTCTGTTGTAGCCTATACGCATTGAAGTAAAATATCCCATGGCGTGTCATCTATAATGAGAAAATCGGCCTTGAATATTTCCGAAAATATATCTCAGTATTATTATCTGGAATTTAAATATTAGTACGTGCTGGATGACTGCACTACAGGCACAAAACCGAAATGAAAACCCGCGGACAAGACAGAAAACACATACATTGCAAGAAATAAGCAATATATATTTCAAATAAAGTCCTTCGGATGAGACGAAAAACCGATGTCCTGTGTATATATTGGAATGCACGTAAAAGATCCCCTGGCAGTTGGAATTCGATATAAGAGTAGGCGATAGTGCCGCTACCCGGGCAAAATTTCCCTCATAGCAGACTGTATGGCGTATGCCCGTCTTCATTAGTCCAGTGTAGGAGCAGAACAGTAGGACGTTAAACCCCATTTCATTTCATTTTATTTCATTTCAAATATAGTAAATGGGCCAGCCGTAACCGCCAACTGTGCTGTAGAGCCGAGGCCTGTAATGATAGTCTTCAATTAAAATGATTTACAAGACAGACGCAATACAAATACTGCGGTCGTCTCTTGACGCCGTGAGTTCAAACAGCAAAAAAAATGAACAATAATAAAGGAGACATTCCGGATAGAATTTCGGAAAACAGGAGCAAAGCCCAACACCGAGAGCATTCTGCAGTAAGAAATTTGGTTTAGGGGTAAAATTTCTGTGCTGTATAAAACAAAGTTGGTTTGCTTGGAATCTGGGTCGTAAATCACGCGCTTACGTCATTTCTAATATTTGTTTAACATCGTAGTACAGTTATTGCACGATTTCATTTTCTCGCGTGACCAGCAGTGCAATGCTCGCGCCTGAGAAGGAAAACAAATAGCGATGTTTGGCGATATAATACTTCCGAATTCCCAAATTAAGTGGTTTCAATCCGGGTATTATTAAATGACAATTTCCTGATATTAACGTGTAGTAAGGGTATTATTGTAGCTAACCGAAATTAAATGACAATTTCCTGATATTAACGTGTAGTAAGAGTAAATAACATCAACATCTAGCCCAGTCTAATTATCCTTTTAAGACATTTGTAGTTTGTAGAGTGAAGAAGTGAATTTGAAATTAAGAAACCAAACTGACACAAAAATGTACTGTTGTAAACAATTGGTGTCAGTTATCATCTTTTGTGCCATCAGCCTAAATTCACAGAGTAAGTATTTACGGAAATTATAAATTTAATGACTCAATTCATATTTCAATTTTGGATACTTCTGTATATTTAGTTGTTCCAATATTAAATGAAAAGTCGGGATGGAATGGAAAGATGAGATGGGTGTCGAGGGGTGGAGGGCTTGATAGAAAATATGTACGTGTTTAAGCGATCGTCTGTTAAAAATGCAATAAATAGATTTTGCATATATTGTTACATTCGATCTACTAATAGTTAATTTTATTTTCTAATTAATTTTTATAACTAGAATCCATTGTTTAATATTTCGTTTCATCTAGTAATAGTTATAAATTATTCTATCGTGATAGTTTTATATGAAATGAAATGAAATGGGGTTAAATGTCAGGCTAAATGTCCTATTTTTCTACTCCGACTAGGCTAATGAAGACTTCATACAGTGTGCTATGAGGGGAATTGCTATGGGTTTTTTACGTGCTCTCGCCATTGTGTAAACGGGACATCGGGTTTTCGTGCCATCCAAACGTGTACGTTCCGTCAATGTAGTTTTAGAGTTTTGGCAGATTTTCGCGCTGCGTACGTATGAGTCGCTGGGCTGAGCTTACTTCTATTACAGCATGATGGCAGTTATCTACCAAGATCACCATAAGCTGAGCTATTAAAAAATATTAATGACGAATATCTTATTAAAAATCTTCGACTTCGACTCTACAGAAATTTTCAGTTTCACTAACGTATCATTTCAGAGAGTTAATACCACTTTACCATATAATCTGCGGTGGCTGATAAGCGACATGAAAAATAATATAATTTGTTTTTTTTAAATATTCACTCAAGTCAATTTTAATATAATTTGTTTTTTTTATAATTTTCACCCAATTCAATTTTAATTTTCACCCAATTCAATTTTAATTTTCACCCAATTCAATTTTAATTTTCACCCAAGTCATTTTTAATTCAATTTGTTTTTTTATAATTTTCACCCAAGTCAATTTTAATATATTTTTTTTTTATTTTCACCCAAGTCAATTTTAATTTCCACCCAAGTCAATTTTAATATAATTTGTTTTTTTTATAATTTTCACACAAGTCAATTTTAATATAACTTGTTTTTTTTTATAATTTTCACACAAGTCAATTTTAATTTCCACCCAAGTAATTTTTAATTCAATTTGTTTTTTATAATTGTCACCCAAGTCAATTTTAATTTTCACCCAAGTCAATTTTAATTTTCACCCAAGTCATTTGTAATATAATTTCTGTTGAGTTTCCACCCAGCGCCTGATGTCATCTCAATTAGCCTCGTTTCAAAAACACTAATTTTCGCCCGCCATTGGGAAAATAAACGTGCAGGGTCGACACAATCTTAGTCGGGATCTGACAATGAAACGTATTGAAATAAAATGAAACGGGGGTTTAACGTCCTACTCCGACTGGGTTACTGAATGCAGTATGCCAGAAGGGAAATTTTCCGCTGTCAGCGGCACGACATGAAATTTCAACTGTCAAGAGTTATTTTACATGCTCACCAATGTACTAGGGTACAAGGGGCCTGGGTATTGATATCAGTATGCATCCGTCATAGACAACGCTACCGAACATCCAGACATAGAATTCAGCGCAGTTTGTTGGAAAGAGATAACAAAAAACAACTTGGCCTATGTGCTTTAATGCACACACGTTAACTACCCCCCCCCCCTCCTTTTCAATTCTGAAAATTTAATGAAAGTCAAGATTTCTTCCCTTTGATTTAGAGATCTTGTGATAATTTCAGTCGATAAAGTATAAATCAAATGTAATGACAGACCTCATTTCTGGCTCTGATACGTTGACAGGTCTGCTTGTGTTCACATAAAAAGTCATCATGTTATAATATCAAAAATCTTTATTACAGTAGTAATGGTTTTTCTGGTGACATATATAATTTAAACAATAACTGATAATTAAAGTATGAAAAAAATATCTATTTGATATAAGGAAAAAACTTAATCTATTACATATAAGGAAAAAACTTAATCTATTACAATCTGATACATGTAATTACAGAATGAGAAAAATATATCTTTAATATAAGGTAAAACATAATACATTGCAATCTGCTAATTACAGTATGAGAACCAGCGGTTGCCAGGCAAGATAAGCCCATATTTTGCATGAGATGGATTGAGAACAAGCAAATAAAAAGCTATTTTTATACAATCAGGGGCCATAATCCAGGAAGTTATGGTCTGAAATGCGCGAATATCGACATGGACTGAGATATTTGGGATATATATTCCAAGTTTCATCAAAGTTTGCGTACGAGGGGCGGCCATTTTGTCCGGCAGTTTCGATCAGATTTTCAGAAAATTCGAACTCAATCATCATTAGGGCGTAACGGTGATATATTCAAACTATTTTTTAAATCGGATAAAAATTGTGACCTCTAGAGGGACCACAAGCTAAAAACGAGTTTTTTTCGTACACTCAAGGGCCATAATTCAGAAAGTTAATATCCGATAAGCGCGAATATCGAAAGGAACCAAGCTCTTCGAGCTTTAAACATGCATTTCAAATTTCATCAAAATTAGATGATAATTATGACCTCTTGAGTGTCCACACGCTAAAAATAAGTGACTTTTCGTACAATCAGGGGCCATAATCCATGAAGTTTCAATCCGATACATGCCAATATTGAAAGGAACCTAGATGTTTTGGAGATAAGCCTATATTACAAATCTCGTCAAATTCGGTTAAGAATTGTGACCTGTATAGTGTCCAGAAACAAATTGTGGATTGGCGTCCGGACGGACAAGGGTAACGGCAATATACGTCCACATGAAGTTATCTCTTTAATATAAGATAAAACATAATACATTACATTGGAAACGAGGCTAATTGAGATGACATCACGCGCTGGGTGGAAATTCAACAGAATTGAAATTATATTACAAATGACCTGGGTGAAAATTAAAATTGACTTGGGTGGAAATTATAAAAAAAACAAATTATATTAAAATTGACTTGGGTGGTAATTAAAATTGACTTGGGTGGAAATTAAAATTGACTTGAGTGAAAATTATAAAAAAACAAATTATTTTAAAATTGACTTGGGTGGAAATTAAAATTGACTTGGGTGAAAATTATAAAAAAAAACAAATTATATTAAGATTGACTTGGGTGGAAATTAAAATTGACTTGGGTGAAAATTATAAAAAACAAATTATATTATTTTTCATGTCCCTTATTAGCCACCGTAAGAATCACCTCATTTACACATTTGCAAGGTCCCACTTAACTAAATTTAGCACGTAGTTTAACAAACATGGAAGACAGACAGACAGGAACAATATGAAAATTCCGAGAAAAACTCATAAAAAAACTGATTAAATTCCAGTCTTTATCATGGTTAAAACCACATCAAATATACACCTTCGTGTTCTAGGATACACATAGATTCATAGAAACATTTCAGCGTCTAAAAGCAAAAAAGACGGTAAAAAGACCTTGATGACGTCAAAAGCAAAATCGATACGGATACTGACCAGGAATTTGCGCTTGCCAACAGCCTCTACTATATCTCTTTCGGTCCGCCACAATAAAGCGTGTACATTATCGAAGATATTTTAAAGGGATTATTACATAATATCCGAACTATTGCAACAACGCCATTTTCCATCCAAGCCAAAAGCTGCCTTCTGTATTCATCAACAGAAGACTTTTCATAAATATAGCATGTACGTATATGTTTTTACTAACATAGTGTTTCGTATTTACTCAACCTATATGTTATTATATAATTGGTACATGTAGGCGTTGCGCATAAGACAGGGTATGCTTTTTATACTACTGTGATACTACTTTGACTTGGATACGGCAGTTATTTCGCATGTTTCCCTTCACGTACTATATTACTACTATATTCACTTTGTGTCCTTATGGCAATTTAAATTGGAATGTCATATTGGTATAATATTGTATTTGATATAGATAAATTGTTATAGAAAGGATTATAGTTTGGTTTTATAATATTATCCTTGAGATTTATAACGAAGGTATATCCTTTGTTTTCAATCTCTGGTATTTAGATTTATGTTTGGGGTTTTCAGATCAATATGCTGCGAATACGGGGTGCGGGCGGTTCCAAATCTTTCCCGGTATTGGCCGAGAAAGTTCATCGGGATTTTCCGGCGTGGTTTCCTCTTGTCAGTGGCGCAGGAAGGAGGACCTGACAAAGACAGTTGTCTAGTCGTTCAGATGGACGAAAAGCCGAGGTTCCGTGTACACATTTTTTGTGAACCCTAGGGGCAGTGGCATTATCACAGTGAGCAATCTGAGGGGATTGGGTAGAGAGGTAACCCCGTGAGAAAATTTTGAAAATTTGAGTCAATATTTGCTGAGAGCAAATTCTTGTGAAATAGAAGATCAGAAATGAGAGCCAATGGGACACAAACTCGAAACCTGTCTTTCAATTCCGCCAGTTTTCTGGTACTACAAATTGGGCTGTATGATAGTGATGTGATAGTGGAATAATGTTGCCATAATGGAATCTAGCGCGGTAGCCGCGAAAAAAAATTCAGATAACAACATACACTATTTAACTCAGCTTTTAATGTTTGGGACTGGACATGGGCGCCGAAACGACGGGGCTATGGGTGCAAGCAAATACCCCCTGTCCCGAAAAGCACGGAGCAATTGAACCGCTGTCCTTACTTTTTTGCTGACTGTCCTTTGAAATGTTTTTCGTATACCAGTAATGAGATTGTCTGACCACCCTTCCCGCTTCAAATCTTCACCGGTTATAACAATCGATATGTGTTCGAGCACTGGTTGCTTAGGTAGGGGGGAGATCCCATCTCGTGCTCATGTCCGGTTAGTGAGCGGATACTTGAGTGTGGGTTCACACAGTTGGCTTCTATTCATAAAAATCGATTGGACGAAGTAGATGCATTTATTCGCAACCCTTTTCCCCTAATAGAAGAATACCGAATATCTTATTCGAGAGCAAGGTATCACAAACCACTGCTCGTCAGTAAGGCTTTCAGGTATGCAAACTCTGCCACAGAGACAAACCGGCTGAAACTAGCCAATACTATACTATACTATTCGGATTTAAGCGTGCTTGATCACCAGATAATACAACCTATACATACGGAGCGTTAAAACATATTTTTATACATTTATGAAAATACTTACAATCTGATCAACGTATGATGAATAACAATAAACTTTATAGATCTTATAAATAATGGAAATTGGATATACATGACATGTAATATACCAAACTTTACAAAATATAACTCTGCATATTATGGTTAATAACTTGAAATGAATACTATAACATGATAATCATTAGGAATGATTATATATGTATACGATTACTTATCGTTGTATTTTAAAACAGAAATAATCCGTAAATTTCTGGTCATTCCATTCTATAATTAAGTCCATTATAGAATGGAATAAAACATTTTATCCCTACATTTCACGGAAACTCCTGGTCATTCCACCGTTAATTCCGTAAAATAACAGAATTAAGCTCTTTCCTGTTTAATACTGAATATTCCATAGAAATACATAAAACACGTAATTTGAAGAAATAATTCACACTTTTAACACAATTTCTCCCAAAAAAGCCATCGATTAACAGAAAAAATGTGTTAAACTACGGAATTCGGCCACATAAATAATGAATATTTTTTACAGTGTAAGTCATGATAAGATTTTTTTTATTTTTTAAGATATCTGATGAAATTGTATAAATACAGGATTCAAGATTGTTGTTCGATATGTTACGTTGAAGAGAACCGAATCGGTTATTGATTCTAGTGATCTGAGTTGTATTTTGATCTGATAGGTTTTAACTGGTAGCCTGTCTGAAGACAGATATCATCGTTTCTGCACCCTATTGTCAACAATTTTCTCGGGGAAGGAAGACCCCCCTTCAGCTCCAGTGTGAGAGAACACCCCCGGGCCCTCCTTGCCTCTTGGACGTTCCGACACCCCTGGGACTGGACCAGAAAAATTTTAGTCAATTTCCTGGCATTGGAGTTCATTTATAGAGGAAATTCTCGTGAAGAAGAATGTAGGAAATGGGACAGAATCTCGAGACCTGCCTGTCAATTCCGCCTGTTTTATGAGAGTTGCCAGGTCATTTGTACAGTCACCCCACGATCCACCCACTTGTGGTACAACTAAATGGGCGATCATTTATAACTGTGAATATGATAGTGATGATATGGTATAAGATCATCGAAGAATGGGAGAATGAATTACTTTTCTATTTATTTCAGAATGTGATGAAGGCCAGAAGGATATCGTTCTTTTATTAGATTCTTCGGGAAGTGTGAGAGCGCGTAATTTCCACAAATCAAAGATATTCGTAAGGAATTTCGTTGACAGTTTACAAATTGCTGCGGATAAAGTGCAAGTAAGTTTAATTTTATTTAGCACACAACCAAAGAAAATATTTTGGTTGAATGATTTCAGTGATAAAGACAAAATCAAGAGTGCGGTTATGAAAATTCCCTACAGAGGTGGAAGCACAGCTACTGCACATGCGTTACGTTTTACGAATGACTATGTACTATCAAATGACCATGGTGACCGAGAAGCAGCACCAGATTTGATAATTGTGATCACTGATGGAAAGTCAAACAAGCCAGAAGAAACGATTTCTTCAGCTAAGGTACTTCACGACCGTGGTGTTGACATTGTATCTATAGGAGTTGGAGATAAAGTTGATGCCACAGAATTACACACTATAGCCTCTGATAGAAATTTTGCTATTCAGGTCGATAATTTTGATAAATTAGATAGTTTAACAACTACATTGTTCCAGGCAGCGTGTGAAGGTAGGTGGTTAGCATTTTATTACACAGTTTTATTGAGAATTTAAAGGGGCCATTCCGATTTTAACGAAGTCTTAGAAATAAAGTCCGTGTAGGTATGAAATTGAAACGCCAAAATAGGCCTATAGAGGAATGGTTTATTTACCTCGTATCAAAATTCCAGTTCAAAATGATTGAGTCGCTTGGACGTGAACGTCAAAACCGCTTATCCGCACAGCAGTCCTTTTAAGATTTCGGATCAGTTTTTTCGTTGGGTTACCCGATAATCTATTGCCGGCCCTTCAGAGGTCCATACAGTGCATGAACCACGTGCTGTACTTGGTAATGAAAGGTAAATGTCACCTACATGTTGTTTTTATAAAATAAAGGTCTGGTTTTATCCAGACTGCTTGGGACTTCGGTCTCCATTTTCAAATGAAGTATGGCGGGTTTAAGTTGTTTGAAAACGTATCACGTATATTAAGTTAGTTGCTCGGCCCTAAGGTAACGGATTTTTAGGGCTTTTAACGCAAACTTAAGCAGTACTATTCTCCAAAACATTGGCCCTTTAACGATCAGTGGGACGCATTGTTTAAAGATTCTGTGGAAGTTGCGGTGACTTAGCGAGTAAGACGCTGGCTTGGTAACTATGAGGTCTCGGGTTCGCCCCCTGGTTTTGGCTGAAAAAGGTCTTCGAGATTTTTCTGTGTGTTTCCTGCTTGTTAGTGATGCAGGTCAGAGGACTTTGCAAGGACAGTGTATAATCGTTCGGATGGAACGAAAAGCCGAGAGCACACCCTATGTCCATCTCCATTAGTCCAGTCGGTGCAGAAAAGTAGGACGTTATTATATGCAACTCTTTTGATGGTAAAAACCTTCTGCCAAGGGACCTTTTAGTTCATTTAGAGGTAGTAATCGACTGAAAGTTTTATTAAATGATTCGATTATTCATTGGGACGTAAGGAGTTGTCTCCCTTCTAACATTTTTAAGCTAAGAAACACGATATAGGACAATTGTAACGATAATATTTCATTTATCGATTGTGAAAAAAGAAAACGGTTTAGATGTTTCAATTTTTAGTTAGGGTGGGTGGGTGGCTAAGCTAGAACCTTAAAGGCTCAATACCACTCTTGTTGTTAACTGAATAATATGTCCCAGTCTTTATTCTGGTCAACAAATTGTACTATTGTAGAATATTTCAATTAATTGATGATACAAATTTCATCTTAACACACCTTATTTATAAATTTTGAAAAATTCAACACAATGGTTTGAAACGTCTAACGTAAACCTTTTCAAATGAAACTCCGATTTAAAAATATTTTCGAACTCTCTGGACAAGTAAAATAGGATGTAATGGATAATTTAAACAGGTAGGACACTTAAACATCTAGTACTTAGATAGAAATATTATTTATTTTCTGGAGCTTTCAAGCCAGCAAGAGTGTTATTGTCCCATTAACAAAATTAAGATTTTTACTAATATTAAATCGCAGTTTGTGATCGCAGTACAGGACACCATTATCGTTTTTCTAGAGCTTGGTTTTATAGGTAGGACGAACGGCGTTGCTGGTTGGCGTGGACAGACCCCTGCCTACGTTGAATAATTTCTATTGATTATATTCCAGACAACAGAACACGTGTCTGGTGCACATGTTAATTATATTCGTGCAAACATTGGCGTGTACGTAAAATTTTTCGTAAAATACACCTGTAGCAGTTTGAATGCGATGAAAAGTAGACCCCCCCCCCCACATCCCAGCACTCGACAGTCCCCATATTATTTCATTTTGATTCCTTTTGCAATGTTTTCAACATTAATTGAGCTGTATTGAGAGCAGGATGTCTTGAAAAAACAATTTATTTCATAATTTTAGGATTAAAGACAACTACAAGAAGAACCACAGCTATAGAAGTGACTTCCGCACGTCGACTGACTGATACAACTTTATATAAAATGTTCAGTGATGTGGCAACCGATTCTACAGAACAAACTGGATCTGACAGACCAACTTACGTGTACGATTCTTATAATACACGTTCATTAATTACTGCTACAAGTGAAGATTTCACAACACCGGATTCATCTGGCACAACTAGTGAAAGTTTCACAACATCGAATCCATCTGGCACGACTGCTACTGTCATAACAAATGACACCAAACCAGGAAGATATTTGACAACGCCAACGAACAGTCGAACCAGGTCAAGTTTTAAAACTTTAGTCGATTTGAACATTGAGACCACCACATCGACTATGGTTTCAACAACAGATTTTGAAGGTACAGTTTACAGCAACATGGCAGAAAGACATACAACTGTTCCATTCACAACTTCGACTCGTGTTACTAAGAAAGCGAAACAACCTCTCACCGTCGAAATACCAGACGAATTAATGACTACCAGTTCCTTAACTCGATCATCACGGTCGTTTGTTAAATCAACATTTAATTTACCCACTTTTCAAACTAGAATTCACACATTTAAAAACACCCAAAGCAAACAAGAAAATCACAGTACAACAGAAACTGTGTTGGTTACGGAGAATAATATATATCCAATTACGGTTAGTTTCCAGAATAAAACAACTATGGTCAATCCATCCACAGACATGGACACAAATGGGACCGATAAATTAAATTTGGATAAATTAATCAATGAATGGGCAACAATAGTCGGAATAACGACAGGGGCAGCTTTACTCGGTGCCGCAGCTTTTGGTACTCTAATCTGGGTGTTGAGGCGACGTCACAATAGAGAATCAAATCTTCCTGCTCAGGAAAGAGATGTGTAGATGGCGGTTGTTGATGTTTGTAATCTAAACGGTTTCTTATTTAGTCTATTTAAAATCTGGTTCTCTGATAATCATTACCAAAAATATGTAGAAGGGAATTTTAATCACTACCTGATATTAATCATATATATTATATTTCTGGATTCATTCAAAGTTTTGTATAGGTTTCTTCTTGTAACTGTGGTAAAATATTTACCTGCGGTAATTAATGAGACACTTTTTTAAAATAGAAACGGGCCATGTGGTCTTTTTTTAAAGTGTTACGGGGGTATCTGAGAGCCAGAAAATTTATTTTATATAGCCTTAAACCCTTCAGAAACTTATTACTTTTATTGTTGATTAAGGTCAAGGTAAATTGACAAAAATTGTCACAACACCTTAAATGGGTGGGGGGGGGGGGGGTCCTCAAAAAATCATTTACAACAATCTTAGTGCCGATATTTTGGTATCTAAATGTGCTTGAGGTGATACTTAAAGCGGAAATTGCAAATTATTAAGTTATATTTTTAAAAGTTATTAAAATAAAGCCTGAAAATAGATGGTATCCATAACAGTCCTACCTTGTTAAAGAATAATCCTATTAATCCTATAATTCACTATTGCCAGCTGAGAAATTGGCAAAAATATCATTTTCCTCTTCATTTTCAAACGTTTGTAAAAAGCTACTCCATGGTGGAGAATAGAAAACAAGGGGGGTAATTCGGAGGTAATTGTGTTATTATTTCCTGTGTAAATGAGTTTTAAGTGTGAGAATGACACCTACGATCGTATAATTGTTGACAACCTATTGAGCAAAAGACATAGAAATAATTACGTTTTGACTTTCTTAGAAAATTTGCAATTTCCGCTTTAACAATAAAAAAATGGATGTATATTAAAAATAATGACTTTGGAATTTGTGACTTTGGATAATATGAAGCAAATATGTCATTCAACACTGCGCAGCTACAGGGTAAACAAGACAACCTGGGAAATCACAAAGATGCCTGAATATTATATACACTTCAACCATCAAAACTTCAAATTTTGAAAACTATCTTTGTTTTACAAGTCCATATAATCTAACCTTTTTTTTTCAAATATCCTCCATTTTTTCAAGGGACTACTTTCAGACTTTTTGTATGGAGTACCATTATAAACATCATCTAGATGAAATATTTCGAGTCTTGATTGAAAATAGTAAATCCTGAATGATAATTTCCTTCAAACTCCTTTTGTTTTCAGCTATTTGTATAGGCCTAATGAATACACATTGCCCTTTCGAAACTTTTTGCCTAGAAGCATACAGATACACTGACAATTAAACATCGGACATAAATATTTTAAATTAAAATATTTTGTAATACATTTTATTCAATATCTATTCAAACTCATCGCAGTATTTAATCTTTGAATGTGGGAATGTATAGTTGAATGTTTGATTGGAACATGATATTTAGCACATGTACTCCACAGAAAAGAATTTGCCATACAAAAATTATATTTAGGTAACAAATTCTATACCAAAACCTCAAAATGCTTATTATTTTAACATAAATGAATAATAATTTATAAACAAGCATTTTTGTTTACATTTACCAACACTTGACAACGGTAGCCATGATAGCTTAGACTTTGACAGTTCTGTTTTCATCAATTTATAGAACGCTCCATATGAATAATGTTAATATTAAAAGATGTGACAGTTCTTGCAAATGATGGTGAATAGTCTATAATATTACAATTTAACACCTTATTTATCGATCACAAGAAACATGGCGATTGGGCCACATAATCCCTGGTTTAATGACAAAATCAGGAATGCCAGAAAAATAAGACGCAAGGCGGAAAGAACATGGCGACGGTCAAAATTAACAGTTCACAAAGATATATTTAAGGCGGAGTGTAAGCGTGTTGCATCACTTGTAGTTTCTCAAAAAAACGAATATTACAACAACAAATTGGCTCAATCTGGAACTGATCAAAAGAAAATGTTTCAAGTCGTAAATCATTTATTAGACAGAAATAAGTTCTCGAGCTTACAGTTCTACAGTTCTACACGGGACCTTGCAAATAAATTTGTTTCTTATTTCCATGATAAAATAGTCAAAATACGATCTGATATATTACAAAGAAAATCAAATGCTCAACCTGTATCGTCATATAGAAGCAAACCAACAGCTTTGTGGTCATCATTCACCAATCTGACTCAAAAGCAAATTAAGCTCATCATATCAGAAAGCTCTTCTAGACCCTATGCCTACACATCTTTTGAAGACACGCATCGATCTATTTGTACCCATCATATCCGAAATTATTAACCGATCTCTTTCATCTGGTCACTTCCCCACGGCACTAGCAAAATCCATTGTTAAACCATTACTGAAGAAATCAAACATGGATCCAGATATTCTGTCGAATTACCGTCCAGTCAGTAACCTATCTTATATTTCAAAACTACTAGAAAAGTGTGTCTGCATAAATTAAATGATCATATTTATTCAAATAACCTTGGAAATCCATTCCAATCTGCCTACAAACAATACGACAGCACAGAAACTGCTTTACTAAAAATTACCAACGATATTTACCGAGCTATAGATCAACAGAAATGCGTTATCTTGGTACTCCTAGATCTATCAGCCGCATTTGATACGCTCGATACCGAGGATCTTCTTGATGCATTATGGTGTGAAATTGGCTTGCGTGTAACTGGTTTATGTCATATCTAACCAATCACACCCAAGCTGTCAGAATTAGAGATTTAACATCCGACGATAATACAATGCTTTGTTGGGTACCGCAAGGTTCTGTACTCGGACCTGTACTTTTTATTATCTTCACACAGCCTATCACTAAGATTGCTGAAGGCTATGGGCTAAATATTCATTTGTTTGCAGACGACACCCAAATTTATCTTGAATTTGACACAGACTCTCAACATTCTATGATACAAAATATAGAACTTTGTCTCACATTCTTGCGTGGATGACAGAATATTTCTTAAAATTATATCCAATAAAAAACAGAACTGCTAGTAATTAGAACCAAGCAACAAATCTGGAAAATTGATCAAACTTTAGTTAATTTTGATAAAGAAATAATTTTAGAAACCCATAAAGCTCGAAATATTGGTGCTATATTAGACTCGAACCTATCGTTTAAAGATCACATACAAAGTATTTGCTCCACTGCCTTCTATCATATACATCGAATTGGAAAGATCCAACGCTATCTCAATTATGAAAATAAAGAAAAACTCATTCACGCATTCATCTCAACTAAACTAGATTACCACAATGGTTTGCTATACGGCTTACCAGACCATCAGATTAACAAACTACAACATGTTCAAAATTCAGCAGCTCGACTCCTCACTAAAACTAGAAAACATCAACACATCTGCTCTGTATTGCAATCTTTACATTGGCTCCCAATTCAGCAAAGAATTAAGTTTAAGTTACTCCTCTTCGTCTTCAAAGCGTTAAACGGCCAAGCTCCACCTTGTATAAAAAGTCTGGTAGAACCCTATACTACCAGCAGAAATCTCCGTTTTCAGAAAAAAAACATCTTCTAAAATCTCCAGCCATTAACTTACAACTTGGAAAACGTGCCTTTTCTTATGCTGGTCCTTTTCTATGGAATAGACTACCACAATCAATGAAACAATTACCGTCTGTGGGCCATTTTAAATCTCAACTCAAAACATTCTTAATACAAGGTACAATTTTATGGATACACAATTACTGAGTTTGATACTGAGCGACGTTTCGACGAGGCTACTCTTGTCTATATCTCTTACCAGATCAAAAGGTTGATGAAACAAGAAGTGGGCATAGACGTGACCTTCTCTAGTTGCAGAACCATACAGAATTTACTGCAAGCTAATGGTAGATCAACACAAACCAATCCCCCACAGCCCAAAGGATGTATTTACGAGATAACATGCTCCTGCTCTGAAAAGTATGTAGGGGAAACGAAGCGCCCGCTTGATGTACGAATAAAAGAGCACACGTCACTGGCTTCCACCAATCGCTCAGCCGTAGCAGAGCACATTAATAACAACGAACATCATACAATCTTGTGGACCAAACAAGATCCCTTGCAGTACATCATCACTAGAAAAAAACCAGGAAACTTCTTGAGGCCATCAATATAAAACGCATCAAGCCCAAGTTAAACCGTGATGTCGGACTATTTATACCAAGGGCTTATGACCAACTTATACATTGATTCGAATACTTTATTTCTATTTCAGCGCTTATCAGGTTTTCACAGTCTAATTACACATCATACATATCTTGACTTTCAGCACTTACCCAATTTTACAGTCTGAGGATATATTTCCCATTTATTGGTTTCTGTTTAATACATAAAAATAATATAATTACGGTTTCTTTCTTCCAGGTTTACACTCTAATAATAGGGTTTATCCTTCAGGACTTCCAACTTATTGATTCAGTGCTTATCCAGTTTTTCACAGTCTAATTATACATCCTACATATCTTCGTTTTCAGTACTTAACCAGTTTTTTTATAGCCTGGAGATATGTTTCACAATCCTCTATTTTCAGTTTATTGAATCAATATATTTACGGCGTCCCCCCGTCCATTTTACAGTCTAATAACAAGCTTTATATATCTTCCATGATTTTTTGTTCATTGAATTAATATATTTTATATTTTTATTTTTAATTTATTATTATTTTTCTTTACACCTGCATCAGCAATCCCTCTTGTTCACTTATACATACCCACTTCTCTTTATATTATTGTTTATCTATAGCTCAGGTTAATTGGTTTTCCATTAACAGTGTTAATACCCTGATCTTTATAAATAATAGGTTTCACCTCCTTTTAATCCCTGTAGGAGATTTCCGTTGTGTAGGTTTAGTTCCTAATGGCCCCCTAATCAAAGGTGTTAAGCTTTAATTGCATTTGATTATTATCTTTGTTGCATATTCTGTATATATATATATTGCCCACAATTCACATATTTGTATCATTTGCTTGATAAAGACGAGAGTATCCTCGTCGATACGTCGCTTAGTATGAAACTCAGTAATTTTGTATCCATAAAATTGTACCTTTTGTTAATATGTTCAATTACTAAATGCCAATCAAAGAACAAAAGATTCTTATTTCAAACCCCTGATCTGTAAATAATCGATCAGTGAATATAAAAACCAACAGCACCTAGAAACTTTTTTTTTCAGTATTAACGCGCTTTATAAATGACGATATTATTATTATAAGTCAAAAGATATTTACTGCATATTTATTTATCGTTTTGTGTCGAATTGCCTCGCAACGGAACTGGTGATTACGACAATACGTTTGTGAATAATTTATTTATTAATATTATCAAATCACGTAAATGACACCTCATTTGTATTCAGATATGAATTAATCTTATTCCGCAGTTGTTTAAATTCAAAATATCAAAATTTGTAATTAAAATTAACACTTTGCTCATTGATATACTATTCAAAAAAGTAGGGGATATTTGATTTTTAAGTGTTATCAAAGTCAACTTATGAAGTTGTCTGCGATATCACCTCGGTGGAAGCGGACGTAAAATACAACTAATTCATCATCAACTTATGAAACTGACGAAGAAACAAATGACAAAATGAAATGAAGTTCACATTCATCGATTTATTCCAAATGATCGTTAGACTAAGTAAGGCACAGACTGACCATTATAAGGGTAAAATGATACCCGGGGTCAAACAGCAAAGTTACCACAGCATCACAACCAAGTCAGTAACGGGTAAATCCTCCTTTGTTTGCCAAACAAACATTGATCCGACGTGGCATACTCCTAATGAGACGTCTAAGGTCATTTTGGTCCAGATTGTCCCATTCCTGTTGCAACGCAGCAGCAAGTTCTTGGACATTGGCATGCTCGATGGGG